TATATATGTATATATATATATATATGTAGATATATATATATTGACCTCGTGTTGTGACCGAGGTTATTGCGACAAAACTGCATTTCCTGCTTACACGTATATGAATAAGGCGACAAAATACGGATACGCATGCCTGAAGAGGGACAAAAAGCGCGAAACCGATCTTGTGCTGCCAGGGCAATTTTTCTAGTTATTCAAATACCACTTGTTGTAATAAATATATATATGGCGATCAATGAATTCTAAAATTCAAACTTAGGTCAATCGATCGATTGAGTGATTGATGAACGATTGATTTTTTGGTTGGTTAGCTCATTGATAAACTGCGTGTTTGATTCAAAAATTGAATTTTATAATATTCATGATTGCATTTTAAAGTAATACACTCACAATTGCTTCGATTTGCTTCAAGCATTTGATTAGTTCCACATCATACATTGAGATTTTAATTATTTTGGTATCCAGGTAGATGGTCATTACTATATTTTTTGTATTGTTTTATGTCTTCCCCTTTTTGTTCACTCCAGGTGATAAATGCGGAGGTGTCTGGGAAGCTGGCGGAGCGTACATGTGCAACGACTGTGTTAGACGTTACATCGCTCCATCCACTTGTACTTATATTCTGAACTCGTACACGGCCGGTGCACCTTCACTACAGCTCAATATAACAAAAGTAGGCAAGCGCGTGATGCAACGGAATTCCACATTACCATGAATTAAGATAAGACAACTAACTGTCGAGTGACACTATTTCTTATTTGCTATTCCCTACCAATTCTGTGGTCATCTTGTTTCAGCTTTACGGTTGTCTCTGAAGCAACAGTTTGTCACTTGCGGAGAACAAAACGCACAGTACATACACCTGTACTCACATTCCAATTAGGTTTTACCAGACCCAGCATTGATCCATTTAAGTCGGTACATCACGAGTGAGAAATTTTCCCGGTCCAGAAATGTATCCCCGTTTATCATTAGGGAATTTGAATGATGTGATTTTAATTTCCAGAACCGAAAAACCGTTCTAAATGACTACATAGTTTATCGTTCTGTGGTAAACGGAATAGTATTGAATTTAGGAATACGAGATTCCGGACTGTACTGCTCAGAACTGAATTGGCTTCAACCCGAACTGCGGACACCAATGAAATACACGAGGAATTGATAGCAGCAAATGCTTATGTTTATTGATGGAATTATATCATGTTTTATAGAATGTAAAATCCATATCATTTGTTGAACGAGCATCCTCTAATCACGTAATCGTTTGCACCGACGTATCATATGTGTCATGTTCGTCCGGTGTACCATTGGTCGAACTTCGTGAACGGTGATTGGATGACATGAAACTGTACCTAGTCGTGCATGGATTGCGGTCACGGAAGTCGGGATCACCACACGTTCGTAATACCAACAGTGCAAACGACATGCATTGACCGTTCACTTGCGACACTCCGACTAAATTTATTGTGCATGGAGTTTCATTGAGTCATGCCAAAGATAATTCTGACTTTCACCAAACTCTATCTTTCTTCGTGCATCGGTTTGTCAAACACTGATTCCCTTACGTAACATGCTTATTTTCTGTTCAAACAGTTGGGCAAAGGGGATGGTTCAGACGTGGTCCTGCGCGTATTTGATGGCGCGCGTGGTCGAAATACTCTACTGGAAACCATCAACAAAAATCACACAAAATTGTACACACCGGTTGGATCCACGATCATCATCGAACTGCGACTGTTAACTATGCCAATCCCGGAGGTGTCTTTCAGTTTTCTGTTTCAAACAAGTAAGTTTTCACTCGAACATCAAACTTCGTAACTTGGCAGTGAGGTTGGATTGGCATATTATATTCCTTGGCATGTAACCTAATTTACCCCCTATCTATGTCATTGCTCTAATAAGCAACTCTGCTCAGCTCTGACCTTATGAATTTATAACAATTGCTGACGTCCCTGAACATATTTTCCACCTGGAAAACATAGTGATACGAATCCAGCAATATGGCCTTAAAATCAATCGATCAAATTGACAGACGAGGAACCCAACAGTGACTTCACTGGGTCTCAAGGTGGAAAATGGAGAGTTGAGGTGAGATCACGCAGTTAAATTACTTTGCATTCCCAACATCAAATTATACCTCAAACGATCCCTAGACTGTATCGCATATTTATGCCGGTATGCCAAAGGCTTCATGCCCAGTTCTAAACCATTAGACGCGATCCTCAAAATGGAGCATGACATTGCGATGGACACCAGAAAGAATTCGAAGGTTACTGCCCCAACATCATCTGACGCTGAAGTTGCCGGTGGTTGGCTAACGATTCACACTGGTGTCACATGCCAGTGACGCTGGAATGAGAACCACACACGAATAAGTAGTATACGGTGCGTCCGCGTATAAAAGTGCTAAATTTACTCCTTCTCAAACAATGTTACGCGAGGCTTCCAAAATTGAAGTGGGTACGTGGCCGTAACATGATCTGTCCCTTTGACAACAACGACAAGCAAAGCGGAAAGTCTGTAAAAACTTGCCAAAGTCACATGAAACCAAGCTTCGCAAATCCAGAACACAATGCAACCAGAGAGCAGGCGTTGCTGCTGATGCTGTTGTCGTGGTGTTGGTGGTGTTTGGGAAATAAGATGGAATGAATTCATAGGTGATTGATGTAAAACGAGTCTTTAAATTCCAGCTGGCACGGTTGCAACATCAAGCTTTCCCGGTTTAGGCTCCATGCTGTTCGTCAAACCAAGTCCCCAGGATTAGAATTGTTGATGTAATTAAAGATAAATCCTCATAGAGTTACTCGCTACAAAATGCGTATTTGTTTCAACCGCTCAGATGTCCTCACATGCTCAGATTGCCTCAAGTATCATTGTTGCGATTAGGAAAGTGTGGTGCTCCTAACCCACGGGATAACGCCAGCCACGGAGCGACACGTTACAGTTTCTAAATAACGAACCACGGTGACCTGAGATCCCAGTGTCCGATTGTTAGTGAGATACTGGGCTTCAGAATCCGGGACCATCCGGGTCACGTTTTTCTGGGGGACTCTCCAAAATCCTCCGCCCCTCTCCAGCTTCATCGATATACTTTATGAGTGGTTTCCGTTCAAAACCAATCTAAAATGCTTACTCAACATCCAACAACAACAATAACCGGCTCCATTAGGATATTATCGGTTCAAAGCGCTATTCACAGTTCTTATGACTTAGGCTTCCAAATCGATATTTAAACGAAATTCAGAGTTACAGTAACATTAGAGCACAAGTCCGAGGGTGAATGATTTCTTTAGAATGACTCAAAATTTAGCATCTACAAATTGCATAAGTGGACTTACAACATAGCTCGACTATTGCTTGTGTTCACTGGCTCGCCTGCCCATCGTCCAAACCAGTCAAAAAGATAGGCTACCTACGCTGACCCCTTCCATAGTCATTTACTCCTTCCGGTGCGTTTGTAATGCAACGTGCATTAGCCGCGCATCTCATGATGGGGGAACAGAAAGCGCCATTCTTGGTAATCTAGTGGATACAGGTCATCACATTAGACCAGGCTTACCTGTCGTGTACAGTCCCCCTCCCCCTCCACCGTTCCCCCAAACCCTCTCTAAGACACACACATATTAGCCACCGCTGAGAAGACAGGCATTCGCCTTTTCGCACCAAAACTATACGCACAAAATCGCCTGGTTCAAGCTGTCCACTTATTCTAGTCCCAAAGGGATCAACAACATCATCACCACCAGCAACACTCCTGTCACAATCGATCCCACCCAAACACAGCCACATATAGCTCACTCCATCCCTCGGCTCTCCCCATTCCGAATGAACTTTCGAACCAGCGTGAAAATGTGTCCGCTCTAAAAACAAACCCCTATGTGATCTGTATAGGCACGACCTTTTATTGTTTTAGTTTTCTCTATGGTGTTCACTGCTGTTTGCACGTTCTTTTCTGGAAAATATTTGCAATCGGACTCCAACAGCTGACTAGCACATGCCTCGACGACACCAAAAACAATGAGTTATCAGCCGGAAGTGTTTGTTATTGCAAACACACGATCATCGGTTCGTTCCTCGAGCAGACAGGATTGTGGACCTACATTGTTGATCTGATTTTAAGTTCTATTCCCAATCCAAACTTACTGCTTCTAATCCTTTCCATTTCCCCATCTCGGCTAAACAGATCATTATCCGCTCACCTTCGACCGTCTAACTTCATCTGGTCCAACCCGCACTTCCAAAACTTCATCTCATTGCACAATCTGACCGCATGCTTCTGCAGACTGATTTATTTTCTGCCTCTCTGTGACATTCCGTCTTTGCATTGTTGTGCTTTTCTTCATTTGTGGTTCACTTCAGCAATGTCCGTGGTCCAGAGTTTTCACCATTGTTTTGTGCGCGTTTAGTTTTAATTTCTCTCGAGAATGCCTGGGATTCTCAGTCAGAGTTGCTTCAAATGACTGTAAGAGCTTGTCAAAAGATGACAAATATACTCAACCCAGGATCGCAGAAATACGAGACTTGCATCTTTGGTCTATTCTCCCCCATCCGCATTATCATCATTATTGTTGTGAGTTACCACTCATATTTGTGAGTAGTAATAAAAAGCGGAAATGGGATTCTCACGGAATCCATGAATGGATCAAATGATTTACTGTTGCAACTTTAGAAGAGGCAAACAGATCGTCAGGCTGGCAATCACCGGCGGAAAGAAGATCACGTAAAAACCAGCCTATTGTGACAAATGAAATGTTTCGTCCTGTGTAGGCTTATTTACTTCTGTCCGATACTGTTTTTAAAATAAACAGTCCTCCTCGTCGAGGCACTGTCTTGGGGAGTTATAACATATTTATTATTATTATTATTATTATTATTACGTGATTTGCCCCTTATCGCTGCATTATTTGTAGTTCGAGAGAGAGAAAATTATGATTTTGCATTTGCGAGACCCCTGCGGATCTTGGATCTTTGTTTTAACCCTAATGAGCGTTGGTGATCCTCCTCTTCATCACCGCCCCCAAGTAGGTCATGCGCTAGAGCCTCTCCACTGGCGGTATGTGACCTTTCCAATTTTCTTCACCTTGTATAACGAAACCTTGGTTGACAACCCGATCCACATTAAACAATATTTGGAAATTTATGTGTGCAGTAAGCGAAGTAAAAAATTCATAGGAAGAAAGAAGGAACAAGTCATGACGAAATGATTGAAAACGGTTTCGGCGGTTGGATGTTCTATCACAATTGTCCTCACCCAATTCCTCCCCCGGGATTTTGGTTGACAACAATCCTGTCCCTTAGTTCAACAGAACGACGACAATATCAATAATAAATACACGTATCGTATCATTCATTTTATTATGAGTTGTATTTCCTTTTACCCACTGCATTAAGCTCATCCGCAGACTGATCACTTATTTTGTAGTAACTGAAACAACCGTCTGACACGAACGTTTTCCCATCCTTTTTTTAGACGGACACATTCCAACACCAACTGGTAAGTTTGTTTTTATCGAATATGGATCTTCTTATGAACAAACCGCAAACAAAAGTGTTATTCAGACTTTGTTCAAGCAAACAGGCGGTCTGAAGTTTTAACGAAAGGGTCAACTGACACTTTTTATTGCACAATACTAAATCACTGAGCGACAGAGATTAATCTTGTCCTTTAGAATAGTGATTGTGTTCAGGGCACATCAAATTGTACTACAATCGATCCCTTCCGAACCTTCCAGAACGGTTTTCAGACACTAAATTTATTACTGTCTATCACAAGTCAGTTCTTGATAACAAACATATTACCTGTATGAAGCTTTGCTCTCGAAAACCGGCTCATTACTCGTAAATAAAAATGACCTCTAATCCTCAGTTACAGCCAAATAGTTTCTTTACCAACGATTTTGAAATCCTTTGATATATTCACTTCGGCCAGCTGTGAACGACACTGTGGCCTTTACCATTCTTAACTTTATTTAGTGATTACATCCCTCACAGGACGGTACGCGATAGAATGGATAATAGGTACAGTGAGTTGTACTAGGTTAAGATGATGAATTCGTCGTGTAAACGAGGTGTGAGCTGAAAAGCTAGGAAGCACTGAACAGCTGTTTCAACCTGGCTAGGTTTCCCCATCCCATTCGGTTTTTCACAGGCACCAAGCACTGTGATAATATTCCGTGTGGGTTTCACTCCTTGAGAGATCGTTAATTCCCCACTATTGGAATGCGTTTAAATGCGATGGAAATGTTTGTGATAATCAACAAAGAGCATTGGACAGCTGTTTCTTCATTCCAGATTAGAATATTATATGGCTCAGTTCACCTTGTTCAGTCGCTAAACTGTGATCGACAGTGGTCGCGGTTTGCTGTTCCGTCTCAGATTTTATCTATTTCCTTTTTGTATTCAATAAAAGTGTTATTTGGATATTCAGAAGAATCCGTTATTTTTTCTTCATAAAATGATTAGAATTTTATAACTGTTGAAAATCTTCATAGTCAGATATGTTTGTTCTAATGCATGGTCATCCCCGTTAACTGAACTTAGTCGTTGTTGTTGTGAGAGCCATTTGAATTGTGATCGTCTCAGAACGCCTCTTGTTTAGTCTAACAGTCGACGAACTCCGAGACCTTTCCACGGATTTTGGTATCACACAAGCAATTCATCCACCCTTAACCAGAATCAAATCACTCATTTCAACTCGTTTGACGCGAGTATATAAATGTGCGTTTATAGCTGAATAAAAGCACGCGAGCAACTGATGGCCATTATCAGTTCTGCTCACACATATGTCTTCATGTACTAATGAAATGAATAAGAGGAAAAGGATGTTTTACACAGACAATTCTTGGTTAATCCGCAAAAGCGAAGAAGGTCAAATGATAGTGGAAAACGAGTGGATGATCAAAACGCTAATTGGTAAGTGGTTTGCGATCTCCTACCCCCGGACCGCTTGTTATCAACTGGACACGTTAGTTACTTAAATAATATTTAGATTTTCTAACCCAAACAGATCTTGCTTAACAAACACACTGAAGTGAATCTCACGGTTGTATTGTTCTGCTTCTATGTATCGATCCTACCTCTCTCTCTCTCTGTTCAGGTGGATGTGGTGGCGTGATTTTAGATTCCGGATTCATATTCAATCCCGGCTATCCTGACGGAATCAACGATGAAGACAACTGCGTCTGGATATTCTACGCGTCCAGTGGATTGAGTCCTTCGATAGAGATCCTCCGAAGTGAAGTAAGTTCGTTTTTCTGGTACGATCGTAGCAACGGTAGCAACAGCAGCCAACGAGAAATGGTCAAACAAAAAGAAGGATGAAAGTCCAAACCAAGTCACACACCTTGTGTAATAGGTATTTTGAGGAAATAATCACCAAAGTGTTCCTATTTACCCTAGAAACAATCCGCCTTCTTATGAAATCCAGAATGAGATCTCGCACTGTAAGCAGTACGCGTACAGGATCCATAGTGACCGTTGAATGTTGAACGGTCCAGTTTCGGACTGATCACAGCATCACAACAGTTATACATTGATAAACGGGGACGAACACAATTTGAGGAAACATACCACAACTAAGTTGGTGTATACAAATAGTACAGAAAGAAGAGTGTGACGTTTTCTGTATGCGGCTAATCGGAATTTTAGTGCAACCGGGCTAACACACTCCACAGGTTCACAGTTTGGTTGATATTGAGAAATGGAATTAAATTCTTGTAAAACACGAGGTAGCAGTGATCATGACTCTCTAGCGAGTGAATTATATATATTGTATATGTGTTGTGTTGAAAAAATTAAGTGCCATTTCATTCATTTGAATTGGGCTGAAAGAGGAAACTGAGGTGTTCAAGTGCGTTTTTTTTTCGAAGTGTCCCATTTCAGTTCACAGCCAAGATTGCCAGCTGACTCAAATCACATCCAATGAATTGTCGTGGTATTGCCTTTTGAATATCTTCTTTCTCTGGTTAAATNTCCATTATTAGTAATATTATTACTATTGGATCCGCTTACGCAATCTGGAATGGACGGCTGCTAACGTTTGCAGAGGCCATAGCAATCAAGCTCCGAAAGGCTCTGCTTGGTCAGCAAAAGGAGATCAATATCGTTTTGGTATTACCCTGGTAACCATCACGACATCGTGCACATCATAACTGCACAGCGGGAAAGGAGCAGATAGCTACAGATCATGGGAGTTTTGACAACATAGGAGTCGGTTGTCCGCCAAAGAACAGGGGATTAAGGCTGTGCATATCCTTGTATGTACCATAAAAAATATCGCCTCGATTGACCGTTTCTCAAAGTACTATTGTAAAGAGAAGGCGAGTTGGCTGGCAAAATGTTTATTGATTCTATTCAAAAACAAATGATGTATGCGTTCAATTATATACAATCAATTCTTAATCATGAGACATTTTATTGGTCATTCCCTGTTGGTTTTGGTCCGCACTTGGTACGTACGTTGCTTCTTCTTCCGCGTGCCGTTCCGACTGGTTTGACCCGATCGAAGTGCGAGATACGTTGATCGACGGCTCCGACATTATGATAGTCGCTGGATATCTTTCTGGCTAAATGCGGATTGTCCGTCGGGCTGTAACTGTCGATTCGTGCGTTTCGAGTGGTAGTTGACATTGTCTCGCGAATTACTTCCAGCCGCTACATCTGCGCATCTGGTTGGATGGGCCCTATTCTTGATTCGTTCGCTAGCCGGGGCTCTCTTTGTATCACCTTACATCATACTATGAATGTCGAACGTGAAATCATTTCAATGATTTATCCAGTCTTTAAATGAAAGAATTAGTCATGGGTTTAAAAACAACACGAGATGGTACATTCCCAACTGATAAACTCAAATTGCCTTCACTAGAACAGCTTGGTCGAAATTCATAAAAGGCGTATATGACTGGCAGAAACACAGCTGTGAAACAGATATTCGTTTCCTTTCGGGATGCGAAACAGTTCCAGTATCGATTTCTACACTCACTTTGATCCACACTCCTATTTCCATTCACTCTGTCTTTCCAGTGTAAGAGATGATGCAACAAAATCTAAAAATCCATATCATGTAACTGATTCACTATCCCCCTAGCAGAAAACAAAAAACATGTGCCCAGTAGCTTACGTCACTTCTTGTCAAATGATTAAGTTCATACACGTGCCGGTCTCCGCAGCCCTGCTCGCATAGCACTCACCGCCCGGCACGGGTCTCGGAATACTGAATGATTACTCGTCCAGCAAGGCTATTGAAGATTTCCGGAGTATTAACCAAAAGATCCACTTTTCTTATACACATGATCCTCTTCAGTTTGCTTACAAATCTCGATTCAGGTGAACAATTTGTTCATTCAATGGATTTCTGATCATTTCAAAGGATGTACACCGATGAGTCGATTTTCATAGATTGTTCGGATGCTTTGGAGTCGGTTGGCCGTAACTTTCTCACACAACGTATTCCGGATAGGTGCCAAAGACCAAATGTGGTAAATGCAATTGTCACACAGGACACCGTTCACCGAATGGTTACGGTAAATCTTCTTCCTTGCTAGAGGTTAATTCAAGGGTTTTCAGGGTACTATTTTGTCTCCATTTTTTTCACTGTACATTAGCAATCTTGCCATCCCTCCTAACTCTTTTGCATCCGGGTACACAGATCCTGTAGCAACTGGGTGCGTCTCGATTGACCATGACAGTTTCTGCAATCTCCCAGGCTGCTTCAATCAAATTTTTAGTTGATCTGCGCTCCGATTTCCGATGCTCTTTGTCGATAAATTTGTAAAATTTCCTATTATCCTTTAAACAGGCTCCTATTTACAGAATCTTTCCAGCAGTTTGCTGTTAATAACGCAATCACTCCCAATGCTAACTACGCAAAGTAACTGGAATTTAACTTATTACGCATACTTTCTTAGTCTAAACAAGTGGAAAGCGTCTACAAAAACCGATCAAAGATCGCTTTTGTGACAGCCGCACTTGGTATTTTTTCTACGTTCTAAAAGAGAAAGACTGTGTCCTCAATTTGCTGATCTATTAAACTGCTCCACGCACGTAAAAACGCGTAGACAATGCAATTCAATCCTTTTCTCATTGAAGCATCAGGTCTATAAATATGAAACTGCATCTTGACATAGATTTCCTGTCTCCATGACTTTGTGAGCCATACAACATTGTTGCTTACAGCGATAGATACACTTACGTCTGAAAAATCAAAGAGTAGAGGCCAGAATAAGCTCAGTCTCACAAGGTCAGCTACTTGGGCACCTGAGTTCTTTGTTTATTCACTCTCTGTTATAATCAAACAGGATCTTCTCAGTATTGGATCCTCAGAGGACCGTCTTCCGGTAAAGTTTCTCGTCCAGATAGGAAATCCACAGGTAATGAAATAGAACACAGCTCCAAGCGTGCGGAAGACATTTATTATTGCGAAAGCCATAGTTATTTATACAAAAGAGCGAAGATAGGAGAATGCGTACATCACACGATTAATTGACTGGATTGCTGTCAACCATCTTAATTGGTTGGTGGTTCCGACCAACCACCTGAGTTCACCTATCGATGTTCTGACTGGCTGGCCTAGAACGAAGCAGTTTTCAGGGAGAGGTCATTCCAGCATTTAAACACGGACAGTTTAAGGGTCGAAAATCCCCGCTAAATGGGTGCAGCAGCCGGTTACCTGGGACTTCCTTCCAACGTTATTCGAAGACTCCACACTTGATTGGACAGCTATCGTCAGCCCAACCTAGGCATCCTTCCAGCCAATAGAGTGCTGTCCCGCCCATGTTCCGCTTGTCTCATGAGGTGCATGAGACCAAGGGCCAATCCCGAACAGCGGACCAACGAAAAGCAGGCTGAACCGCAACCAGAAGGGTTTGTACTACAGATGTTTAGAAGCTCTCAAACGAGTGCTTCGGTCACCCTTCCGCGTTGGATCTAGACCCTGCTACCTTACGGGTGAGATTTTAGAGTCAAAGTCAGGGTACCCAAAGAAAAACCCATTCTTTTGCTTGAACTAACGCAAAGTATCGTTCTCTGAAGTCTTAGGTACCCATTTGGCAAACCCTCTTTCTCGTTTGTCCATTTCTTCCTCTTCTTCCTCCCAAATCTTAGAAGATGCATCTTTTTTGTGCCACCCCTCGTGGAATACCACTCAGCTTTCAACTAATTTGGTCAACCACTCACAAACTATTGAGTTCATTGACGAATGTTAAATGTCAAGAAATTCTCTGGTGTGTTTTGACCGGGCTTGGTCGATAATTTTCACTGATCCGAAGTCAATAAACAGGGGACATTTAACTGTATCACGTGTACAAACCAATGCAACTCAAGGATTAAATGACGCAACAAAAAAGGTCACACCGTAACCTGAGAACGGACGGAAACCGCAATCAGGATGAAAGGACAAGCCTCCGTCCTCCCACACTCACCACCTCGCACCACTTTAACGGCGAACCGAATCGAACAGAGTGAGAACAAGAGCCGATGTAGAGGAGCACATATATAAACGATTGGGTACAAGCAGAACAGTGCCACTTCACAAGCACTGATGATGCCACCTCAGCTGGTGTTGAAACGTCTACATACAAACTGTCAAACTTGGGAAACAGACAAAATGAAAATTTTAGAGATAAGCATATATATATAAATCACTTGCTAAACCTTCGGGATAGGCGGATTATTAGGTAATCTTAATTTAAACTGCTTCCAATTTGGTTCAGCGCACTAATATCTCCAACAATCTTTGCAATCGCGTTCTCATTTTAGTTCCAATGCAATCACACGTGTTGAAAGCATTTTCGATTTTGCGAAATGTTTTCTGTCCTAATGAATGATTCTGACCCTTTGTCCATGGCGAGTTTGATTCAATACTGAGTGGCCAATATTGACATCAAGGCTCTCCCATATTCTATTCGGTGTAAGAAAGCTACAACTAATCTTTCATATTCACAAACTGGGATAATTGAGGGTTGCATGTTTCTCACAGGTTCAGTTTGTACAACTATTAACCATGTACTTTCGTGCACCGATTTTGATTATTGTATTTTGGCTGTCCATTTAGATGAAGTAGTAGAAGAAAGACAGGAAGGTTGAAAATAGAGTCAAAGAGAAAATGGAGAATTTCAGTGGACTAAGATTGTAAGTAAATCGAAATTCATGAACGCCATTGTTTATAGCACTCTGCCATGGCATTCAGTGTCTCTAACCACCGGTGACCATGATCTCGGGGTCCTCAGCCACGGGGCCCAACCGGACCTAGGTGACCTAGTCTCCTAGTTAGGGTTTTCATACCCTCAGGTTAGGTCCTTGTTTGACCTCCCTTGACCTTTGTCCAACCGCTGCCTGCCTCGGCAAACAACGCTCGCAATAACAACCTATCTGGTGACATGCGCAACACGTCAAAGGCTCCGATCAGGGTTCCCAAAAGAAGCCTTTCGTTGATGTGGGCTACGGCGCAGTATGCCGTGCCCCAAAGTCTTGGGTACCCATGTGAAAAACCATCTTTCTCATCTGTTCAATCCTAATTATTTCCAAACCTGAGGAGATGCATCCGGTTCGCCCCACCCATGGGATATCACTCAGCGTTCAACTTATGAGGTCAACCACTCAGATGCTATTAGATTTTAAAAACCCATATCTCCTTTTCACTTAGCCTCATTTCACGTCCGTACACTCTACCAGATCGGTCAACAAGCTGCCATAGCTTGAAACCTTCCATTTGGATGTATGCTATCCCCGAAATAGGCATACATGACCCCACTTCAATCATCTCCCTACGTTCTCCAGACCCGACCTCATCCTCACGCTTCACTTTACGTGTGATTCGGAATCCGAAGCTCGTGGTGTTGTTGGTGTTGGGATTACGCTGAGTGTCAAGGCTGAACGCTCGATTCTTGACTGAATTCCAATCAGTAGCCGACTGCACGCTGTACGTCTCAGCGGTTCAGCACGGGTCAACAGCTACAGAACAAAGGGTCGATGCTTATTCTTAGTATAAGTGTAATCAACGACTGATTGCAGTTCGCTAGAATTGAAGAATGAATTCTATAAAGACCTCTCTCAACTATACCAAAGTGCTCACCCAACTGACATTGTGGTAGTCGCTAGGGACTTCAAATCTCAAGTGGGACCCATGGACGAATCAGAAAGGCTTCTAGGTGGTTCACATGCTAATGCAGCTAACAGGATTGACAACAGAGAACGCCTATTCCCTACGTCCTGAAACAACCACAGAAAGGTCACCAAAAACGGATGCCCATAATGTCAGCGATAATTGTAAACCGGCCTTCGAAACGAAGCTCTGTGATCGCTTTTCAGCTCAGTCATCAGCCAAGGGACTCAGTGAATGCAGGATAAAAATAAAGGAAGCGATCCAAATATCAGTCAAAACAATGGCGGATTCGGGCGCACAAACAAAACAAAAAGGATGGGTCTCCTCAGCATCGACTGCCCTGTTGGACTCTTGCAAAGCTATTCCTTCTGATACAAAATACGACAAAGAGCAAACACCCCTTAAACTCCAGCTCATCAAGAGCCTGAGAAATGACCACAAGACGTGGTGGGTGCGGTAGTGTAAAGTGAACGCGAAGGCTGTGGCTATCGCTTATTGTCATAATCTTTCCCATCTAATCAGGAGTACGGGCCCAGGAGTATAGGTGTGAGGTAATTCAGGACTCTGACGATGCAGTGATTCCTAGTGAGCAACGCTGTCTAGATCTATGAGCAGAACATTGTAGGGTACAGTTCAGTTGGTCCTCGTCAAAACAGTACCTCCTATACCTGCTTCAACTGGGCAAATACTGATATTTGATATCAATTCTCCTTCTAGAATGTAGGTCAGTCAGTCATTTCAAAAGGTATAAGGCCCCCGGCCGGGACGGGCTGTCCCCATCGCTTCTTAAAGATGGAGGTATATCCTTGGATTTTAGTTACCGAAACTCCTGAGAACAATGTGGGATAGAAAATAGGCTCCAACTGAATGGTGTGGATCCGTTATTGTATCAATTTACCAAAAAGGTGACAGAACCTGTTGTGAAAACCATAGTCAGCAGAAAGGGCTACAGGAATCGCCTACTCCAACTTTGAGCCGATCACTGACTGTTTCCATCAAGCACCAAGTTCTCGCACTAGAAACGAAAACGCCTTATGTGGAGACCGACAACCTCTTCACAGTGATGGACTCAAATCAACCGTATCACCATCAGTCACCACTAGTGATTATCCCTTGAAAACCGCCGCTCTTACTGGAAAGTGGTGTTCTTTGCGATTGTTCTATGTGTCTCTTCGTATTTAACTTCGTTATAGATTACATTCTTAAAACACTCCTATCCTCGCACGAGGATAGTGAAAATGAATGGTCCCCGAGTGGTACACTTTCTGATCCGGAGTACGCAGACAACATTTTGCCACCAAGTGAAGATCCAGGTAGCTTGCAAGCTTTTCTCTATACTTTGAGTGCCAGCGCAGCCATGTTTGGTATGCGTTTTGTGCCATCAAATTGTCAAACGTTGCTAGAAGATTACGTTGATCTGGCAGCCTCACGCTAATTCGGGAAGTAATAGAGAAATTAGATGCATGGCGAATGTTTACATTAGCCAACTCGGTTTTTCACAGACACCAAGCACTGTTGATGATGTTCCGCGTGGGTTTCACTCCTTGGGAGATCGTAAATTCCCCACTGTTTGTATACATTTAAATGCGGTGGAAATGCTTGTGATAACCGACAAAGAGCACTAGATAGCTGTTTCGTCCTGTTTGGGACTCGTCAGCAGTGCGTGCTTTCTGTGTCACTGTCAGGACACGAACAGCGAAAATCGTCCCAAGCAGGACAAAACAGCTGTGCAGTGCTCTTTGTTGGTTATCACAAACGTTTCTATCGCATTTAAATGCATTCAAGTAGTGGGGAATCAACGATCTCCCAAGGAGTGAAACCCACACGGAACAGTGCCTGGTACATGTGAAAACCGAATGGGCTAGTCCAAACATTCCCTATCTAAAAAAAGAAGTAAATACATTTCGCAGCCTGGGGCGCAACATCTCACTTGGCGGATGCATCATGAACTAAGTGTCAGCTCGCACAAAGAAGGCTGCGTTGGCGTTTGTAAACTTTGGACATCTATTGCAAGATCCGATTGTCTGTGAAGGGTCGAGTGTATCCTTTGGCAGTTCGGCCAGTTTTGCTATGCAGTGGAAATTAGGAAAACACGATAAGGATTGACTCCCGGTGTTCGAACACCGCTGTCTTCGCCGCATTGCACGAGTAAGATGGGGCAATCAGACAAACAACGCTCAGAGTTCTAGGTAACCGCGGTCATCCACTAGAGCACGTGGTCGACCACCATAGATTACACTGGTTGGGACATGCGTTACGCATGCCACCAACTAAGTTCCCACGGTGGGTGGTGTTTGCCGGGGCAGGTAGTGAGTGGAAAAAATCAAGGTTTTCTTTAAAATTTTGACGCCGATACAGTTTGGCATGTTTGTCCCTATGCATTTCATGTTAAGGTGCTGCACGGCTAAATTTTCGGGCATGTCCTTACTAAGAACACCTAGAAGCTTCGTCAGATCAGAACTGAACATTCCAAATATTGTATTATCGGAAACAGATGGGAAAGACGGACAGTTCTCACAACTTTACTGAGCACTAATTGTACACCCCCGCCACCCCACCCCCGGGTTCTGTCATGATGATGAAACAGATTGGGTGAAAATCAACGGTCGTCGAACTTTTTTCGCACTTTGTGAAAAGGCCCGTAGCTGTCAAAAGGAAGAGTCTGTGTCTGTGTGTAAGCTTTTAGTGGTTGGACTTGACTGCACCAGACGGTTGTATAGAAGTTGAAAGTCTTACATGCACTTTTCTCGTTCTACCGTTCATCACTTTGTGGTCTGCATTACGCAGAATAACTGACTGAGAAAAGTAAGCACTAGTTGATAAAGGGCGGTGGTGGCCCGGTGGTAACGTCACCAAATTATTACCCCGGAAGACCAGTGTTCGAATCCCGCCACCACCATCGCCGCCTGACTGCCCCCATCCGGTGTGTGTTGTACGGCGGCCCCGTTTGATTGGCCGCTTTCCCATTCCTGGAAATTGCATCATTGTGTATTCAATAAAAGAAAGTAAAAATGAAAATAAATGAAAGAAGAAGATGGTAGAAAGTTATTTTGCACGGTCTTTGATAGATTTTACCGAAAATCTAGCCCCGGTGAGTCCTAATTGCAAATTTCATAACTTCTCTTTTTTCCATCCCTGACAGCTGTCTGACTCGTCTGGTGTATGTGCCGACGTGGAAGTTCGGGACGGAGAGAGTGGGGTGCATCCAATGATTGCTCTTTTAAACGGAACTGATATTCGTAGATACAAAGGCAGTTCGAGAAATTTATGGATTCGATACACCTCGTACAAATCATCCCACTCGTACGGATTTGTCGGTCGCCTCACTTCGGTCGCCTAATCCAGAAAAACGTACCAGATGGAATGAAATGTGCTGGACTCTCCCACTCCCACCCCTGCTCCCACAAGGAAATACTGGCTGAAACTGGGTTTACGATAGCAGTTTTGTGGCTTTATTCGTTGTTTGTGTGTTTGTGTGAGACTAAGTAACTATTCTCAAAACAATCCCATAAATTGTTGAAATCCGGGCACTTTGTTTGACAAGAGAAATTGATCTGTGTGTTTTCTTTTCAATATCTGATGACTTCGATATACCGTACAAGATTTTCTGATTGATTTCTGTAATATCCAGTGGCCGGCCAGGGTCAGTATTCATAGTTTTCTATTAGAAAGGAAAGGCGAAGGTGACTGGGATTTTCTCTCCATGGCAAAAGAAAATGCGTGGAAACCGATAAAATGAAAGATCTTGAGACTGATGGTGACTAAATTTCCAGGTCACCCAAAAAAGTATGATTCCAAATGCTGCGGAACTAATCAGAACAAGTAAAGCACGTACACCAACTGGGTGGTTGGCATGCAAGCACACACATATGAATTCCGTGCAATCGGTCCGGAGTTCAAACCCGGACGGGACGGTACATATGCACTACTGATGAGAGCTCTAATGAGAGAGAGAGAGAAAATCGAATGCGAGTGCAAGATAGACTGAGGATTTGGCGTGAAGGTGGAGCCTGGAGGATGTTCAACTCAATGCAAATCATCGCCGATCCGTACTCGCAAGAAACTGTAAGCGAAATGCTAAATACGCAATAATGAAACCGTGACAGTGCTTCTTCTCAGCTATTTTTACATTGAGAAACAGCAAAGAAATTACAAGAGGCCGGACTAAGGCAAGCGATTAATAAGACTCACCACGAAACGTTTCACCACTGGCAATCCATTTTTGAAATATTAGTGAGTAAGACATTTTATTTCAAATGGGAATTCGTCGTGTGTACAGCAAGTGAATCATGAACTGAAAAGCTAGGAAGCCTTGGGCAGCTGTTTCGATCTGGTTGCATCCTATCCATAAGGTCCCGGGTTCGATCCCCAGTTGGGTCAATGAATTTGCACTGTTGATGAGACCCAACCAGGTCGAAACAGCTGTCCAGTGCTTCTTAGCTTTTCAGTTCACGCTTCATTTGCCATATACACGACGAGTTCCCATTTGAAATATAATCAAATCCTCCATTACTCACATGAAACAAGACATTTTAGTTAGAGTCATGTGATGTGTTGCAATCAAACAAAGGTTTTGTTTTGTTTTAGATAGTATTTAGTTAAACGTAAATTGTGTTTGGTAAACAATGTCAACAGAGAGGGAATGTTCTTTGGGCCATTGGCCTCAACACATGTGGGTAATTCTGCAAGTGAAAAACCGGACATGTTGCACACGGAATAGATAATTTATCTTCGTCAAGTACAAAAACAAATGAAGCATGAATCGGGAAGTTATAAAGCACTGAACCGCTTTTTTAATGTGATAAAGTATTCTGGACAACGCGGATTGATGAAGCCAACTGAGGAATTCACACAAGCATACTATGCAATCAACCACCGAATTGGTGATCGGACCGTGTTTTCTTATTTTCTGTGTATAAAATATGGTACAACCCTTCTGGGCAAGCTTGTTGCGGGGGTATCATGCTTCGCGTATCTCAGTCCTAGGCTCCAGAAATTTATGAATCGGTTGAGAACCTCTAGTACTCGTTACATCCGAAATCCGCTATATAACTAGAGTCAAATTCTCTCCCCCCTCACTTTCATAATATTGGTTTATCAAACTAAACAAAAGAATGGCGTATCGCGGTCAAAATCGTACGGAGTGGATTCTATATTCCTATGACTTGAAAGAAACCCGTACAGTAAGTTTTTGGAACAGAAACATCATCCGTCTGAAGACAAGAAAACACATCTGATTGAAAGCAACCCGTATGCACATGTTCAGAATATTTCACTGTGCCGATTGACAGTTCCATGCGAGTTGACACGGAAACTGGAATTTTGAAATGATTCTACCGCAATGGACTACAGTTATCTGACAAATAAATATTTCATCAGAATTTATTGTTTCATGTCCAGAAAAGAGTAACTGCTTTGTCCTTGCTAGGACCGAACAGCAGTATGTACCTATACAGACTCGAACTGCTGACCCGTGGGTTCGAAGTCAAAACATTTACCTCTAGTTTTGTTGGTTGGGGGTTAAAGTTAGATTGCTGTCTACGACTCATACCATTTGATCTCCAACGAAACTACGCACTTAGTATGGTTTTCTTTGTGTTTTGGATTTTGGTTTCACGCCACAATAATTTACCGGCGCATCAGAGGAGATATGACTATGGTATACCGAATAATGAGAAGCCAAACCATCCGTGTCACCCGCTGCTAAAATTATCAGCCAACGTTCATCTTAAAGGACATCCGTTCAAACTACTGTTCTCAAAATGCCGACTGAAATGCCGGCGTCAGGCAGAATGTGTTCGATCTGGAACTCTCCCCTACCCCACGTCATCTGTGTACCAAGCATTGAATCTTTCAAACTGAGACGCGATAAAACATTAGCATGCCTTGCGTTCAAACTGAAATGTAGCAGTAGAAGCAGCACGTATCGTGTGACATTTTACACAAGGAATCGTATGTATCACTGCCTTTTAAGCCGTAATACGAATCTATGGGACGAGCAAAACATGAGCCTGTAAGTTATTCCCATAAGAAAACTTTGATTTTGATCTTTACAACTTAACATTGTAACAGCCATTTCCTCAGCGTTGACTGTCGAATGGGAGGTTCAGGGATCAGAGATTCGCTTCCCGGCCTCGAGGGTCAAATCCGCTCAGAGGCAGAAGAATCGCACCCACTGTTAATGAGTTTTGAAACATGAATGAGAACATTTTCTCAGTGCTTTTTGTCGATCAACGCAGAAAATGTTTCCCCCGGAAATACAGTGCATGCGAAAAATGTGGGTAACACACAAACGCTCGAGAAAGTGAAACCCACACACGGGGTATGTGAAAACTAAAAACACATTGCCCTTGAAAATCTAATGAGAGATTATCTTAGAACACCATTGGCAATCCTTATCAGAGATTTTACAACAAACATCCTCAAAGATATCTCGCGACAAATTTACTCACCACGACCGCAGTCGAGTAAATTGTACCGTTCAAACTGAATGAATACAAAACACCGTGTATTGATCGGGTGTTGGTAACGTCATCAAATTATCACCCCGGAGGACGAGTGTTCAAGTCCCACCACCACCACCACCGCCTGACTTTCCCCCATTGCGTGTGTGTTGAATGGTAGTCCCGTTTGATTGGCCGCTTTCCCCTTCCCGAAAATTGTATCTTTGTATATGTAACGAAACGAAGTAAAATGAATGACAGAAAGAAAAGAACCAGATGACAAGCATGAAGCATAAAGATGGGGTTAAACCTATGTTCAGCTAAAACACAACATATTGATCCTGGAAGGAAAAAACGTACTTCTGGCTGGAAGGGTAAGTAATCGATTAGCGAAGAGTGTTTCAAGGGAAACAACGAAGGATGAAGAGCAAAACTTGACACACATTGAACACAATACCTGAGCTGAACGAAAGTTTCCGGATACGCAAAAAAAAGTTTTATTTTTTCATATAAAAATAAAAATTACATTTTCTCCAAGCATTATCACCCAGCTTTGATGCACTCAAACCATTTGGTGAAACAGCTGGACCATACTGAAGCGGGTAACCACTTTTTGACCAGTTCAATAAAGACACCACTGCAGCGACTGATGACACGCACCGAACACCATGCCTCATAAGCTTGACATTTAGGAAC